TTATTTATACCATTTCTACACTAATGCAGTGGTCTGCAGAACAGTAAATCTTCTATTTTCTGTGAGAATAAAAATTCAAAGTGGAAATCAAAAGAATGTAAGAGGGGCCTGGGGACGTGACTAATGAACGGAGGAAATGTTATTTTAGTGCCAGGAATGTCTTTCTTGTTTATTCTGGATCCTATTTGGAAATTGGCATCTTTTGAAATTTGTGTGAAATAGGCAAAATTGCTAAATTCTGACCACTGTATTGGATAGTTGAAATCGGTAAATGGGTGGTTTCTTGTACTCATTCAATAGAAAAAATGAATTTCTAGCGAAATAGTTATGATTTTTGTTGACTAGTAGAATGGAATTGGCCGAAAATGGGGCTCAAAGTGGGCAAAATCGCCGATGCGTAAACATCGTCGAGACCGCTAACTTCACGAGAGCATAATTCCGTAAGTTTCCATCAAATTTCAAACTTTTGGTGTCATTATGATCGGGAAAAGATTCTCTATCTTTTCATAAGTAATTTTTTTTTTTTTTTTTTTTTTGTTAAATTTAGGCGACCCTGAGAAGAAGTCTGGGAGAGAGCCTGGGGACCCTGAAAAGGTTAAGAATAAAGCAATAATAACATCACACTTACCTTTATTGAAGACATGGTGATGTATGGAAGACAGGAGGAGGGGAGAGGATGGAGGAGTTTACAATTGTTTGGAAGGGGAATCCCACTCCATAAAGACTTCAGGTACTAAGTCCTTATCCTGGGTTACTTCCTTCCTTTGTTTTGTAATGCCACTAGAGCCACTGGACCCCTGTCACTGGAAAAAGTTTCCCAGGGAGGTCTGTTTCTGGCGTGTGTTAGGAATTGTGTTGGGAGACACAAGATAGTCCTTCAATATGACACTAATATCAGCTCTATGGCTTATTTATGTAGCATAATTCATCTAATATGACATAATAAACATATACTAATAACATAGAAACGTGACATATACTCTAGAATGAATAAAATACGTCATTAAGTATGTCACGAGTGTTACTGTGTTGTTGGGTGTATAAGGGCCACTGAGAGCATAAGCCGTACATAGTGGTGGAGGGAGGCAGCAACAGAGGCGGTAGAGACAGCGGTGTTGTCAGTCGCCCTACGTAACTCCAACAAAATTGGAGGAGTTAGGTTTGTGCTGTCCTTTTTCTATCGATTAATCGCTTTACTTGCTACAGTTAATACTACACTTTATCGCTGGCTGCCGCTATAGCCTTTATAGACTCATGCTGCTTTAGTATCATACATATTGCAGGATCACTGAAAAAGGCACATTCAGCCCTTTACCAAAGGGCTGGCTGGCACTAGAAGCTTTCTTTGGGCCCATGGTGGCTTATTTAGCAGTTATAAGCACTGAAAACAATGGAATAATACAAAATGTACCGAGTGTATGAGTGGAACTGACTGGAATGGCTTGTAAACAATACAAAATGTATTGCATGTATGGGTGGAATCGTCCGCAGTGGCTTGTAAACAATGGCACACTAGCCACATTGGAGTGGCCGGGCAGCTCAGGCTGTGTGAACATGTTCTGGACGAATATCCTTAACTGAGTTTATTGTTAGCCGAATCAGTATTTTGATGCAAAAACGTATCGCTATCCGATGGCATCATTAACTGAGGGTCCATTGTATTTCTATGATATGTACCATACTAAAGAAGACGGAATTGTTAAAGGCTACAATACCAGTCAAGGGCATTAAAATAATTTTTAAGCTGCAGACCTCTGTCCATGAAAAGATGGAGAGGCTGCTGTTGATGTGGCCAATGTAGTAGCAGCTCGCAGGAGATACCATGATGGAGGGTATCCTCTGCGAGAAGGCACTCTACAGCAAATCAGCATAATCTGGGAGACTTGAAGAGTTTATTGAAAGTAAACACCCAGAAAAAGTTGCAACTGATAGTGCGTCAGCACTACTTAATGACACTTAACTTATTTCCAAAACATTCTGAAAGAGAGGATGAAACAAACCTCCTTGGACAGGTTTTTATTGAAACGCCCTGCAGATGAAAGTGAGGAAAGCGTAGTGAAAAAGGCAAAAATCAGTGAAAGTGAAGTGAAAATTTTTTTTTAAAAAATCTGCAATTAACTCTTTCAGGGTCGAGAGGCTCTCTCCTGAACTCGTTCTCAGGGTCAAAAAATTTTTGGGGAAAAAAAATAATTTTTTCTTATGAAAGGATAGAGAATCTTTTTCTGATCATAATGACACCAAAAGTCTGAAATTTGATGGGAAACTTACGGAATTATGCTCTCGCGAAGTTAGTGGTCTCGACGAAGTTGAGGCATTGGCAATTTCGCCCACTTTGAACCCTGTTTTTGGCCAATTTCAGTGTACTAGTCAACAAAAATCATATGTATTTCTCTAGAACTCCATTTTTTCTATCGAATGAGTACAAGAAACCACCCATTTACCGATTTCAACTATCCAGTGAAGTGGTCAGAAATTGGCAATTTTGCCAGTTTCACACAGATTTCAGAAGGTGCCAATTTCCAAATAGGGTCCAGAAAAAGCAAGACAGACATTCCTGGCACTAAAATAACATTTTCTCTGTTCATTAGTAACGTCCCCAGGCCCCTCTTACATCTCTTTTGCTTTCCATTTTGAATTTTTATTCTCACAAAAAACAGGAGATTTACTGTTATGCAGACTACTGCATTAGTGTAGAAATGGTATAAATAATATCAGTGCACTTGTGAAAGAATATTAGACTCACCAGTTGACGTATATTGGATGCTTGGCATGATTTGTTTACTTTTGAAATTTGGTAAAAATTGAACATTTCTGCTACTTTTAGCTCAATTTCAAGGTACTTTTCATTATGAAACCATTCAAAGTCATCTCAATTTCTGTAATATGTCTTCCATTCTATAAAATGAGACCAGGAAAACTAGAATACAACCATAAATACCATACGAAAATACACTGCATTTCGCTGTTTTAACCCTTTGACTGTCACAAGCCCCTTTCTGAAACTCATTCTATGTCGATAAATTTTTGGAAAAAAAAAGTTATTTTTTTCTCATGAAATGATAGAGAATCTTTTCTCGATGGTAATGACACCAAAAGTATGAAATTTGGTCGAAAACTCGCGGAATTATGCTCCCACAAAATTAGCGGTCTCGGTGACTTACACGCATCGGCGATTTCGCTGACTTTGAGCCCTATTTTTGGCCAATTCCATTGTTCCAGTTGACCAGACTCGTAGCTATTTCTTTAGAACTCCATTTTTTCTATCAATTGCGTACAAGAAACCACCCATTTACCGGTTTGAACTACCCAATAAAGTGGTCAGAAATTGGTAATTTGGCCAATTTTACGCAAACTAAAAAAGATGCCAATTTCCAAACAGGGTCCAGAATAAACAATGTAGACATTCTGGGCATTAAAATAACATATCCTCTGTTCATTAGTCATGTCTCTAGGCCCCTCTTATATTACTACTGCTTTCTATTTTGATTTTTTATTCATACAAAAAAATAAAACATTTACTGTTATGCAGACTACTGCATTATTGTAAAAATGGTATAAATAATATCAGTGCACTAGTGAAAGAATACTAGACTACCCAGTTGACGTGTATTGGACGTGTGGTGTGATTTGCTTACTCTTGAACATTGGTAAAAATCGAACATTTCTGCTACTTTGAGCTCAATTTCAAGGTCGTTTTCATCGTGAAACTAACCAAAATCATCTCTATTTCTGTAACATTTCCATTTAATCATATGAGACCATGAAAACGAGAATACAACGATTAATACTATATGAAAATACACCTCAAAGTCGGCACTTTAATCCAAACAACGGTCAGAGTTTTTTTTTCTCATTACGCACTGCGTGCTGCAGGATTTTTTTGTGGTGCACACTGACCACACAGTCCCATTTTCTCACATGTGGGCCTACCAGCTTTCTCCCGCTTGAATTGTAGCCGCTAGAATTTACCCGTATAAATATGTCTGAAACAGTGGCATGTAAGACGTATATATACGGCGGAAACAGTCAAAGGGTTAAACCAAAAACATGGTCGGGATTTTTTTTTCTCATTATGCACTGTGTGCTGCAGGATTTTTCTATACTGTGCACACTGACCACATAGACCCATGTAGGCCTACCAGCTTTCTCTCACTAGATTTGAAGGCACTAGAATTTAGGGGTTCTAGTACGTCAATAACCCTGGTGCGTAAGCCATACTAGTACGTCGGAAACCTTGAAAGGGTTATGTTCGGCGATAAAGTGTAGCATTAAGTGTGTAGCAATTAAGTTAAGCATTCAGCGATAGAGTTTGATGAACGAAAGTGACTGAAAAAGCACGAAAATGAATCGAACTCCTCCTATCTCCTCTTCCTATCTTTTACACCCTCCACCTTCGTCAGCATCTTCCGTTAGCCCAAGTCGTCTGCTCTCCAAGGTAAATGCACTTTATAAAACAAGTTTATTTCTTTACATTCTTTTATTATGTTTTTATACAATGTTTCTCATTTATAAATGCATTTTTCTTACTTAAAAACCCGTAACAAAAAACTGGGGTAGTTTTTTTGGGGCTGGAACTGATTAATGGCATTTCAATTAATTTAAGTGAGGAAAATTGATTTGATATACGAGCAAATTAAGTTTCGAGCTCAATCACGGAACAAATTAAACTCGCAAGTCAGGTACCACTGTACAGGCTTCCATTTTACACTCGCTTGGTAGTATGGTAGTACCTCCCTGGGCGGTTGCTGTCTACCAACCTACTACTTACTAGTTATGATAATAGTAATTTGTAATGTATTTTTAAAACTTCAATATCTGTCAAAGACTATAAAATGTAATAAGAGCTTTTATAGTATTCTATGGAAGTGTTGTACCATCAAAATTAACCATTAAATATGTTTGAGTAGACTGTCTTTTTTTTTAAGTGTGCCAAGAGGCTAATAAATTAAGCAAAAAATATAATTATAGCAACTTAATGAAACATTTGTATCCCCCTTAAGATTGGTCAGATGGCATTCCAGGGATGCAAGACATTGAATCGTATCCAGACAGTAGTATATCCAGTTGCTTACCACAGCAACGAGAACCTTCTCATCTGTGCCCCAACAGGTGCTGGCAAAACAAACATAGCTATGCTTGCTGTTGTGCATCAGGTCCGGCAGCATATTGAAAATGGTGTCATTCAGAAAGATAAATTCAAGGTAAATATTTGTTTTACTTTTTTTGTGATTATTGAATATAAAATTTTTGTGAAAATGTGACATGTCATTGAGGTATACTGTATATGTGGATAATTATCTCACTGTAAAATATAATACGACTACCATTAATTTTTTATTTCAATTTTATGTTTGATGTAAAATATATTTTTATTTAGGTTGTGTATATTGCCCCAATGAAAGCACTGGCAGCTGAGATGGCACGTAGCTTTGGCAAGCGACTTGAGCCCCTTGGGTTAACAGTGCGAGAGTTAACAGGTGATATGCATCTCACTAAGCCAGAAATTATGGCAACCAATATGATAATTACCACTCCTGAGAAGTGGGATGTTACTACACGTAAACCAGGTACGATGCCTTAATCATTTTTTTTTATTTCTTCAGCTAATCCAGCTATACTATAATACAGTACTGTCATTACAATGATTTTAGTCAAGTCATGTATATACTGTAAGGTCCCAACTTAGGCTGTGCCAACTTAACATTCTGCACTTAAAGTTATTGGCACTTTGGAATCAGTTAATCACTTAAAAGTGCTGATCTCTATTTATAATTGTAAATTTTCTAACATACTGACCTCCCACTGAGGCAGGGTGAATTAGAAAAAGAAGAAACAAAAGTTTTTATTCTTTTTATATTTAGTAAATTATACAGGAGAAGGGGTTACTAGCGCCTTAATCCTGGCACTTTAGTCACTTCTTATGACATGCATGGCTTACGGAGGAAGGATTCTTTTCTATTCCCCGGGGAGAATTATTATAATTTTCTTTATTATTTTATTAGCATTTTGGCTGTTTTCCACTGAAGCAGGGTGACCCGAAAAAGAAGAAACACTTTCATCATCACTCACTGCATCACTGTCTTGCCAGAGGCATACCTACACTGGAGTTCAAATACTGCAACATCTCCACCCTTCCTTCAGAGCGCAGGCACTGCACTTCTCACCTCCAGGACTCAAGTTGGGCTAACCAGTTCCCCCGAATCCAACAGCATGTTGAGTCATAAAAGCCATTTGCTTCCACTTGCTCCTATCTAACATGCTCGTGCATGCTTTTTGGAACCCTAAGCTGCTCACACACAAAACCTCCTTTATTGATGTGAGTGAATTTAAGGCCAGCAAAGGTTGGTTTGAGAGATTTAAGAAGCGTAGTGGCATACATAGTGTGATAAGGCATGGTGAGGCTGCCAGTTCGGACTGCAAAGCAGCTGAAAAATATGTGCAGGAATTCAAGGAGTACATAGACAGTAAAGGGCTGAAACCTGAACAAGTGTTTAATTGTGACAAAACAGGCCTGTTTTGGAAGAAAATGCCAAGCAGGACCTACATTACTCAGGAGGAAAAGGCACTCCCAGGACATAAGCCTATGAAAGACAGGCTTACTCTGTTAATGTGTGCCAATGCTAGTGGTGATTGCAAAGTGAAGCCTTTATTAGTGTATCACTCTGAAACTCCCAGAGCGTTCAGGCAAAAGAATATCCTCAAGGCTAATTTGTGTGCTGTGGAGAGTAAACAGTAAGGCATGGGTCACTAGGGACTTTTTCTATGACTGGTTACACCAAGCATTTGCCCCCAATGTGAAAAATTACCTAACTGAAAAGAAATTAGACCTTAAGTGCCTCCTGGTGTTAGACAATGCCCCTGGTCATTCTACAGACTTGGCAGAGCGACTTTGTGGGAACATGAGCTTCATTAAGGTCAAGTTTTTGCCTCCTAATACCACTCCTCTCCTGCAACCCATGGACTAGCAGGTTATTGCAAATTTCAAAAAACTGTGCACAAAAGCTCTGTTTGAAAGGTGCTTTGTAGTGACCTCAGAAACTCAATTGACTCTAAGAGAGTTTTGGAGAGAGCACTTTAATATCCTCAATTGTGTAAACCTTATAGGTAAGGCTTGGGAGGGAGTGACTAAGAGGACCTTGAACTCTGCTTGGAAGAAACTGTGGCCAGAATGTGTAGACCAAAGGGATTTTGAAGGATTTGAGGCTTACCCTGAGAGGCGTATGCCAGTTGAGGAATCCATTGTGGCATTGGGGAAGTCCTTCGGGTTGGAGGTTAGTGGGGAGGATGTGGAAGAGTTGGTGGAGGAGGACAATGAAGAACTAACCACTGAGGAGCTGCTAGATCATCTTCAACAGCATGAGGCCACACCTGAGGAAACTGCTTTGAAGGAGGGGAGAGAGAAATTGAAGAAGTTGCCTACTTCAAAGATTAAGGAAACCTGTGCAATGTGGCTTAAAGTGCAAACCTTTATGGATGAAAATCACCCTCAGACAGCTGTTGCAAGCTGTACACTGACAGTGTTGTGAACCACTTTAGGAAAGTCATAAAGGAACGAGAGGTACAGACCTCTATGGACAGATATGTTGTGCGACAGAAGTCCAGTGACTGAAGCTGGTCCTAGTGGCATTAAAAGAAGGGAAGTAACCCCGGAAAAGGACTTGCCACCTCAAGTCCTAATGGAAGGGGATTCCCCTTCTAAACACTAGGATCATCAACACTCCCCTCTTCCCATCCCATCAGTCATCATCAGATCTTCAATAAAGGTAAGTGTCACGTAACTGTGCATGTCTTCTTCAGTTTGTGTGTATTAAAATTAATATTTCATGTGGTAAAAAAAAATTTTTTTCATACTTTTGGATGTCAGGAATGGATAAATTTGATTTCCATTATTTCTTATGGGGAAAATTAATTCGCATAACGATAATTTCGCATAACATTGAGCTCTCAGGAACGGATTAATAGCATTATGCAAGGGTCCACAGTAATTTGGTTTTCGTACATTTCGGTTTTAAACCACCCTTCTGGAACGGGTTAAGTACAAAAACTAGAGGTCCACTGTAGATGACTATTGGAATATAATGTCTTCAGAAGAGAGTTCTGAAGCATTGGGCATCTAATTACATCTGTTCAGTCTGGAGTCAAAGAGGAGAATTAAAGCTTTGATGATTTTCTAAGTAACCACTGAAACTGAAAGTGGGATGTACAGTGCCTGCACTCTGAAGAGGTGGTGATGTTGCAGTTGGGTCATTTGTTGTGACATTTGCATGTTTCTAATAAAAAAGCTATTGAATGAATGATGGTGAATGATATGACTTTTTTTTTTTTTGAGTTGCCCTGCCTTGGTGGAAGATAGCTGTATGTCAAAAGGTCATCATATAAAAAATAAATTTCCTGTTATTGCATTGTAGCTGCATTTATTCAGGAACTCTGTAATTATCTGCTTAAGTTTGTGAGAGGTGAGCATCTCTTTGTGACACTGTGAGCTTCAGAGCTGTACAGCTCAGTACTTGCAATTGTATTCCCTGTGTTTATATGTATCATTATGGTTTTGTTTAATAAATGTTGAGGTTTTTGAAATTTTAATGTCAGTTTTGTTTCATTGTATTCCCAGGTGATACCCAGCTCTCCCAGTTAGTTAAGTTACTAATAATTGATGAAGTCCACCTTCTGCATGGTGACAGAGGCCCAGTACTGGAAAGTCTTGTGGCTCGCACACTGCGCATGGTATGTGTTTTTATAATTTTTTTTCTGTCATGCATGATATGGTTTAAGATGGAGAGAGAAAATCTTAGGACTTGTTTACATAAAAAATAGTGACAAAGACACTTTGTGTAACAAATTTTTGTTGTGACAACTTTTTGATCTGTTAACATCTTTATCATACACTTCCTTCACTCCTACTCGTAGGAGTGAAGGAGAGATGAGGTGAGTCGAGTCACTGAGTGTGACGAGACTTGAGTCATCAGTGCTCTGAAAGAACTGTTCTGTACTGGACAGTGTTGCTGAACTGTTTGGTTTCTGACCACCACATTTACCTCAACCTTATTGCCAAGAATGTCCCTGAAGTATTTGTATGATAATGTTGCCCTGTCCTTTTATCTGATGAGTTCATAACCAGTCTGTGTTGTAGGGGTACACCTGTTTATCCCGATGAACTACACGTGTGTTATTGGAAATACTTACAAAAACTAAAAACAGCCTCAGAAATAACATGAAATTTCAAATATAAAAAAAAAAAAAAAATTGGTTGGTACAGTATTTTCTTTAGCTGCTCAACAGAGTTCGTTGGTAATTTATAGTTTATAGTGTATAATAGTATGTGGATTTTGTGAGAGACAGTTTTTTTTTTGAGGGGAAAAGTGTTAAAAAAACTACTTTATAGGTTTTGTTTAGTTAGGTTAGGCAAGGTTAGATTGTGGTAGGTTTGGGCATTCAAAGGATGGAGGGGGATAGAATAATGAAGAGGGTGTATAATCATTGATCGAAGGAAAGAAGGAACACTTGGAAGTACGGGGTAAAGATTGTTTTGAGTGCTAGAGGCTTGAGCATCTAGCAGACATGTCTCATTGTGTTAAGAGTTGAGACAGTGGTTTTTAATGCTTGATGTGCCGTTGGAGTGTGAACATGGTAATGTTTACGAAGAGAGGAAACTGATTAGCTGGACTTGATCCCTAGAGATAGGAAGGGAAGTGCCTGTACTCTGAAGGAAGGGTAGGGATATTGCAGCTGGAGGGCCATCTGAATTGTGATGTCAGCACACTTCTGAGTGATTGATGGTGAATACATTTACTTTTTGAAGATGTTTTACACATTCTCAAGGTCAGAGGGTGGTGAACTTTTTTTGGGTATTACCCAAAACAAAATTGTGTACAGCAAAAATACCCACTAGACTTTTTTTTTTTTTTTTTTTTTTTTTTTTTTGAAAAAAATGTAACTTTCATAATTTGCCTCACTTATTAAATAACAAATTTTTGTGCAGTTTTATTTATTTGTTATTTATTTTTTCGGCAAATTGGCCGTCTCCCACTGAGGCAGGGTGACCCAAAAAGGAAGAAAATCCCCAAAAAGAAAATATTTTCATCATCATTCAACACTTTCACCTGCTTCCCCGACCTCTGCTCTAGATGTTAGTTTGGGGTGGATACATAATACATTGATGAAAAGTTTGCACAGCCATAATGTGTAACCACCCATTTTCTTGACGCGTAATCGTGGCATCCATCAATAGTTGATATACTTTTCACTCCACTAGTCTTAGACTTTTGATTAGCAACTTTGTCTGTGTTGTGGCTATATTTGTAATTAAATATATGTATTGAATGTACACTTGAGAAGTGATCCCAGGTGCCTGTGACCAGAGGGAAGAGTATAGCTATTTCTTCTTCTTCTTTCAACGTACCAGCCATATCCCACCGAGGCAGGGTGGCCCAAAAGAAAAAACTAAAGTTTCTCCTTTTAAATTTAGTAATATATGCAGGAGAAGGGGTTACTAGCCCCTTGTTCCCGGCATTTTAATCGCCTCTTACAACACACATGGCTTAAAAAGGAAGAATTCTGTTCCACTTCCCCATGGAGATAAGAGGAAATAAACTAGAACAAGAATTAGAAAGAAAATAGAAGAAAACCCAGAGGGGTGTGTATATATATGCTTGTACATGTATGTGTAGTGTGACCTAAGTGTAAGAAGTAGTAGCAAGACGTACCTGTAATCTTGCATATTTATGAGACAGACGAAAGACACCAGCAATCCTACCATCATGTAAAACAATTACAGGCTTTCGTTTTACACTCACTTGGCAGGACGGTAGTACCTCCCTGGGCGGTTGCTGTCTACCAACCTACTTCCTACATATAACTATTTAACTAGGTTAAATGGCATGTACATTGTATTTTTGTAACAAAGGAAATTTAATCAGTGAAATAACTTAAAAAATAATTTAACATTAATTTTAAGTGCTAAAAATTCAAAGTTCTGTGATTAGGTAAACTTTAATAAAGCTTTTTCACTGTACAGGTGGAGTCTCAGCAGTCCATGATTAGAATAGTGGGTCTCTCTGCAACACTGCCAAACTACATAGATGTAGCTACATTCCTTAGAGTAAATCCTTACAAAGGTCTCTTCTACTTTGACGGGTAAGAGCACATTTATATTTTTACCATGTAATGATAGAATCAGTGAGGCACTATCAACAAATTTTGCTGAGAATAAGAAAAAAATTTGGAGCGAGATAAACAGGTTAAGAAAGCCTAGGGAACGTATGGATTTGTCAACTAAAAACAGAGGAGGGGAGTTAGTAGATGGGGAGTTGGAGGTATTGGGAAGATGGCGGGAATATTTTGAGGAGTTTTTAAATGTTGATGAAGAGAGGGAGGCAGTAATTTCATGCACTGGCCAAGGAGGTATATCATCTTCTAGGAGTGAAGAAGAGCTGGTTGTGAGTATGGGAGAGGCATTACGTAAAATGAAAAGTGGTAAAGCAGCTGAAACTGAGGGAATCATGACAGAAATTAAAAGCAGGAGGAATATAGTGTTAAGAGTGGTTGGTATTTTTGTTTAATAAATGTATGAAAGAAGGGAGGGTACCTAGGGATTGGCAGAAAGCATGTATACAGTAGGGCCCCACTTATATGGCTGGTTAGGTTCCAGGCTACCGCCGTAAAGCGGAAACCGCCGTAAAGTGGAACACCCTTTTTTTCCACTTACAAATGCATACAAACACTAGATAACAAGTTTACACTAACATATATTAAGTTAGCAATAGAACCAGGCATCAAAAAACAATAAAAAAGTACAATACACACATAGTGCACTCATTACTTACCTTAAAATATTTATAGTCTTAATCTAGGGTGAGACAAGTAGTATTTATTGTAAGAAATCAAGTGTGGTATGTATGGTAGTCAGCCAGGCTACCATACCAGGCCACCCCACCCACACATACAGTTCTATGATATTTAAGCATCCCAGAGCGATAAAATGTATATACAGTTCACTCGTTACTTACCTTAAAATATAGGGTGAGATGAGTAGTATTTATTGTAAAAAATCAAGTGTGGTATGTATAGTAGTCAGCCGGGCTACCATACCAGGCCAACCCACCTACACATAATATTCTATTACATTTAAGCATCCCAGAGCGATAAAATGTATATACAGTTCACTCATTACTTACCTTAAAATATTTGTAGTCTTAATGTAGGGTCAGGAGTAAGTAAATGAGATAAAACAAATAAATGAGAGAGAGAAAGAATGAGTGCATGAGAGGACAGGCGCAGAGTTATGTAAACAAACCAGGCGAAGGTAAGTTTTGTAAACAAAGTGTACACGTCTGGTTTGTGTACAAGTTACATTGTGTACAGGTTGTCTCTACATTGATACGGTAGAATAAATAAAGAAGAACACTCCCATTCTCATGTAACATCATTTTGAGAAGAAATGATGCTCTGAGTGAAGGCAATGGAAATAAGTCACTCTGACTTTTTTGGGTTATCCTAGGTTCTCTACACATATGTTGTTATGTATGATAATCTATGTAACTGTATTTGTGTATACCTGAATAAACTTACATACATACGAAAGGAATAATTTTCTACAGTTACCCCCAGTAACACATTTTCTCTTATGTTAGATTAGAGAAAATGTTATTCTTGGCATCACTTGTACAAGTTATCTGGCTACCACATCTCATATTTGTTTATTTATTCTATTGTAGGGTGTATTTATCATCTTTTCATGTTATGTATCGTGTTTATTATATAATTTTGAAAAAAATATCATGGCTGGATTAATGAAAATGTGTATATTAACGTAATATACAACATTTAATGAGACTCGGTGATTATTATTATTATTATTATTAGCATTTCTAATATGGCGTCACTTGTGCAAGTCGTCTGCTACCACATCTCATTTTTATGTTTATTTATTCTATTGTGGGGTGTATTTATCATCTTTTTATGTTATGCATCGTATTTATTATATTTTGAAAAAATATCATAGATGGATTAATGAAAATGTGTATTTAACGTAATATACGACATTTAAATGAGACTCGATGATTATTATTATCATTACTAATATGACGTCTGGAGACATAAGACACTCTTACTGATTTTAATGTGTACCTGCATGCCAGCACAGTATGTAAGTTTATTTAAGTACAGGTATACATAAGTATAATTATCAGAGTATATGTAAAATATGAAATAACTTTTAAAAACATTTGAAATTTTGGAGTTTCCAGACAAAATGGAGAGACTTAGTGCTTACTGAGCTCACGAAGAATGTAAACAAACAGGGTGGGGCGCGGTGACTGTATTAGAAAGTCAGGTGGGGGGAGCCATATAGCGAGTTTTGGTCATAATTTGAAATGACCGTATTAGCGGAACGCCATAAAGTGAAACGCCGTAAAGCGGGGCCCTGCTGTAGTTACTTTATATAAACGGAAGGGGCACAAAAGAGAGTGTAAAAATTATAGGGGAATAAGTTTACTGAGTATACCAGGTAAAGTGTATGGTAGGGTTATTATCGACAGAATTAGAAGTAAGACAGAGAGCAAGGTTGTAGATGAACAACGAGGCTTTAGAATGGGTAGGGGCTGTGTAGATCGAGTGTTTACATTGAAACACGTAAGTGAGCAATATTTAGATAAGGGTAGGGAAGTTTTCACTGCTTTTATGGATTTAGAAAAGGTATATGATAGCATTACTTAATGCTGTAAAGAGTTTTTATGAGGATAGTGAAGCTCAAGTTAGGATGTGTAGGAGAGAGGGAGATGACTTCCCAGTAAAAGTAGGTGTTATACATGGATGTGTAATGCCACCATGGTTGTTTAACATATTTATAGATGGGGTTGTAAACAAAGTAAATGCTTGAGTGTTGGGAAGAGGGGTGGAATTAAATTATCACGAATCAAATGCAAAATGGGAGTTGACACAGTTACTTTCTGCTGATGATACTGTGCTTTTGGGGGATTCTACAAAAAAAGTTGCAAAGGTTAGCGGATGAGTTTGGGAGGGTGTGTAAAGGTAGAAAGCTGAAAGTGAAAGTAGATAAGAGTAAGGTGATGAGGGTATCAAACGATTTAGATAAAGAAAAATTGGACATCACATTGGAGGGAGGGAGTATGGAAGAAGTGAATATGTTCAGATATTTGGGAGTTAACTTGTCAGCAGATGGGTTTATGAAGGATAAGGTGAACCTTAGAATTGATGCAGGAACAAAGGTGAATGGTGTTTGCATGTACAGTGGACCCCCAACTTACGATTTCCTCGACCTATGATGAAACCAACATAAGATGCTTGTCAGCGTAAAAATTTGACCCCGACCTACGTTGAAAAACTCGACTTACATCATTCGTCCTGAATGCAGCCGTCAGGTCCGTCTGGCCTGAGTGCCTCAGCTGAGCTAGTGTGACATTGTTTACAAGCCAGGGCGAACGGTTGCACACATACATTCGATAAATTTTGTATTATTCCGGTGTTTTTAGTGCTTGTAACTGCTAAATAAGCTACCATGGGCCCAAAGAAACCTTCTAGTGCCAACCCTGTGGTAAAAAGGGTGAGAAATACTATCGAAATACTATCATGCCATTGTCAGCTGCAGCTGCACCACTGTCAGCTGTACTACTTGAAGATGTGGTGAGACTGTTGTTGGTGTGGCTTATTGAGAATACCAAGAAACAGTTAACCCCAGAGGGTTAGCCACCCAGGATAACCCAAAAAAGCCAGTGTGTCATCGAGGACTGTCTAACTTATTTCCATTGGGGTCTTTAATCTTGTCTCCCAGGATGCGACCCACACCAGTCGACTAACACCCAGGTAAACAGGAAAAAATGCCTGGAACTAGTGCTCATATTGGTGAATTTAAGGCCAGCAAAGGTTGGTTTGAAAGATTTAAGAATCGTAGTGGCATACACAGTGTGATAAAGCCTGTTCTGGAAGAAAATACCAAACAGGACCTACATTACTCAGGAGGAAAAGGCATTCCCAGGACACAAACAGTGTCTCATCACTAATCACTACTTCTTCAATAAAGGTAAGTGTCATTTATTCTTCATTTAGTACGCTAGTACATGCACAATATATATTGTGCATGTATCCTTTTTGTATGTAGGAAAATGTATATTTCATGTGGTAAAAAATTTTTTTTCATACTTTCATACATTTCTTACGGGGAAAATTAATTTGACTTACGATAATTTTGTCTTACGATGTGCTCTCTGGAACAGATTAATAACGTAAGTCGGGGGTCTGCGGTATCTTTTTTTTTTTTTTAACGCGTCTGCTGTTTTCCACTGAGGCAGGGCAACCCAGAAAGAAAGAAAACCCAAATAAGAATAAAAAAAACTTTCATCATTCAACACTTTCACCATTGCTCATACATAATCACTGTCTTTGCAGAGGCATTCAGATATGACATCTTAGATGTCCCTTCAAACTGTCAGTATCCCAAACTCCTCCTTAAAGTGCAGGCATTGTACTTTCCATTTCAAGGACTCAAATCAGGCTGACCAGTTTCCCTCAATCCCTTCACAAAATATTACCCTGCTCACACTCCAACAGTTCCTCAGGTCCCAAAAATCATTCGTCTCCATTCACTCCTTTCTAACAAACTCACGCATGCTTGCTGGATTTCCAAGCCCCTCGCCCACAATACAGTGGACCCTCGGGTAACGATTTTGATCCATTCCAGAGAGCTTGTCCTTAACCGATTTTATTGTTAGCTGAATTAATTTTCCCCATAAGAAATAATGGAAATCCAATTAATCCGTTCCAGACACCCAAAAGTATTAATTTTTTTTTTCTAATGAAATATACAATTTCCTACACAGAAAGCAATGATACATGAAGAACAAATACTACATGAAGAATAAATGACACATACCTTTATTGAAGATTTATTGATGAGTGATGAGATGGGAGGAGAGATGATGGTGTATTATTGTTTGGAAGGGGAATCCCCTTCCATAAGGACTTAAGGTACGAAGTCCTTTTCTGGGGTTACTTCCCTTCTTTTTTTTTAATGCCACTGGGAACAACTTGACAGTCACTGGACCTCTGTCACACCAAAAACCTGTCCATAGAGCTCTGTATCTGGCATTCCTTTAAGATTTTCCTAAAATGGGCCACAA